GTCAAATCTAAGCAAAATGCCCACAAGCTGAAAACCCTCATTTGCCTTACTCCCGAGATCTAAAGTGTGCATCATCAACACACTTGTCTGCAATATTCTGGCATGAGGGCAAGGCGTTGGAAGAGAATCAAGATACTTCTTGATCTTATCCTCAAACTGCCACAGATCAACATCCTTTTCATAGGTTACATCAATCCCGCTAGTGCCTTTCCACTGGTCCAGATAATCAGTCCTTCTATTTTTCTTGCTTGTCCCCACTGTTCGATGACCCAAAATCTTTGCCACCTCCTTATCATACTATTTCCTGATCATAGGAGAAGTCATCTTGGCCTGCAAATGATCTTTTCCAATAAAATTTCCATTAAAGAACTTCAAATAGCTCAAGTGGAAGGTAGGATAAACCTTCAAACAATCAGGTATGCTACCTTTCCAAAATGTTTGATAACTTCAAATGGACCATCATACTTTTGAACCAGTCCACGATGCACCGTCTTGCTGCCGATCTTTTTCCAAATCTGGGGAGTTAATTTCAGCATGACTTTGTCTCCAACCCGAAGCTCCATATCCCTCCTATTTTGATCAGCATATTTCTTTATCCGTCAAGCAGCCTTTGCGAGGCTGTCCTTAGTTTGCTCAATCATTTCCTGCTTATCTTGAACAAACCAAAAAGTAGCTGGACTCACACTATGTCATCCTTGTGTTACGATCTCCAAAGGCGTCTTAGGCAAGTGCCACATAGTCAACTCAGCCGGACACACACCCATTGCAGAGGATTGATGTAGATTGTAGCAAAACTAAGTTGTATCAAGTAAGGCAACTTAATTTTTCTGACTTGTCGACACATAATGCTTGAGATACTCTTCCAGCAATGCATTTATCCTTTCTGCCTGACCATCAGCCTGTGGATGATTTGCTGTTGAGAACTTCAATTAAGAGCCTGTGGACGATTTGCTGTTGAGAACTTCAATTAAGAACACATCATGTTGAACATCATGGTCCAGAACTTGCAAGTAAATCAGGAATCCTGATCACTCACAATATCGTCGGGTATTCCAAAGTACTTCACAACGTTTTTAAAGAATAATTCAAAAGTAACATTTGTTGTACATTCGTGCGGAGCAAGAATGAAAATCGAATATTTTGAAAATCTATCCACCACCACCATAATGGATTTAAATCGATCAACTATTGGGAAACTTGAGATAAAATCCATAGAAATCGACTGCCAAGGTCGTTCTAGAACTGGCAAAAACTGGAACAAACTTGTCTCTTTCTTCATTTTTGTTTTATCTTGTTGGCACACCGAGCAAGATTTCACTTATGCCTTGACCTCTTTACCTATCTTTGGCCAGTAATATGATTTCGAGAGCAGATCTAACATCATTTTGATGCCTGGATGGCCTGCCCATTCTGGATAATGAGTTTCCTTCAACAGTTCTTACCTCAATCCCCCACATGAAGGCACATATAGTCCATTACCTTTGGTATAGATCAAACCATCTTCAATTCAATACAGTTTCACCAACACGTCTTTGATTTCCTAGGACAACTTGGCATAAGCAGCACCCTTTTCAGCCCACTATTTGATTCTATTAAGAAAATCATATTCGACCATCATCAAAACCAAGACATAAGCTTCAACGAATTTCAAACTAAATGCATCAGCAACTTGATTCTGCTTGCCTGGTTTATGAACCCACACAAAATCAAACTCAGCCAAGAATTCCTATCATCTAGCTTATTTTGCCGATAACGTCTTTTGCAACCTAAAGTATGTATTGGTTACATGATTTGTTAGAACAATGAATTTTGTTTCTAACAAATACAAGCGCTAGGTTTCAAGACAATGAACAACTGCAATCATCTCATTCTTATGAGTTGAATAACGTTGTTCTGCCTATTTCAGTTTCTGACTTTTTAAGCGATTAGATGGTCATCCTATACCAATACACCCCTAATAGCACGATTAGATGCATTGGTGTATATCGTAAATGGCTTCTCAAAGCCAAGCAACTGCAGCACTCCTGAGTAGAGACAGCCTATTTCAACATCTCACAAGCTTGTTGGCACTCATCGGTCCATCTCTATTTTCGATCCTTTTTCAGCAAGTCTGTCGAGATGTTCACTTTCTTAGAATAGCTAGTTAACCCAAGAAATGAAGAATGTAGTTCAGAAACTTAAATGGGCTAGGCCACTCCAAAATGGCCTTTACCTTGTTTTCATCCATTATGATCTTTCCTTGACCAACCTAATGTTCCAAGAACATTACCTCCGAACTATATACCACAATATCATCCAAAAATACCACCACAAAATTATCTAAAAACTCGTATAGCACATTCGATATGGGGCCTGCACAGGAGCTTTTGCACCTGGTTCAAGTTCAATTTTTGATCTACAGCACGACGAGGTGGGAGACTTCTTGGACGTTCTGGGGGCATCACATCAGCAAATTCTTCCCAAGAACTTGCAACCTAATCTGGCACCTCCACAACCTGATCCTCTTTAATTCCCACCAAGGTTGCAGCGAAAGTCATCTTTTTTTTCCTCAATTCGGCTTTAAGTTGTTTTGCAAATTGCATATCATCCTAAGCTTGCCTTCCTTTATTCCTATCAAGAGACCTTGATGGCACAAATCAAGGATTCCCCTCATCTGCAATGTACAACTCATTCAGATTTTGTACCATGGACGCCTTTGCTTTGACAAAGAATTCGATACCAAGAATCAGTAAAATCATCCAAGGGAACGGTCATCATATTGCACTTCCCCTTCCACTCCCCTACACGAAGGGTGATTTTAACAAATCCCTTCACCAACTGTGTTGCAGAATTCACAGCTTTAATTTTCGTAGCCACCTGAGTCATGCTTAAACCCAGTTTCTCAACAATCTTTGAGCTTACAAAGTTACTGGTAGTACCCTTGTTCATCATTGCCAACACTTCTTTGCCATCAACAGTAATCTGAACGTACATCAAGCCACACTTTAGTGTAGTAATGGCATTCATGAGTTGCAACGGAATAACTCTAGATGGGGCCTTATCTGAGTTATCATCATTACCTTCTAGCCTTAAGGTATGCAGCTTTTCTCTCTTTAGATAGTCCTTTGCACGATGGGGACCGTTGCAAATGAAGCAACTGCTGAATCCTTTTAACTTAAGTTGGGAGTAATCACCATCCTGCAATTTAGAAGCTTCGAACTTTTTCTTCTTCATCTTTCCCATTTTTCGATGTGCCAGCCTTCTTGTCATTGCCTTTTCTCTGAACAGATGAATGAACTGCTACTCATCTTATAGTCAACAAGACAGCCCACTACAGTCACTGCTGAAGGAAGGTCCTTCACTCCTTGCCTTTGCAATTCCACTTGCACCCAACTTTGTAATCCTGATATAAAATTGAAAAGCTTATCCTCCTCGGACGTATTTTGGATATCCAACATTAGGCTACTAAATTCCTTCACGTATCCTAGGACACTATCCGACTGCCTCAACTTTTTAAGAGACTCTCTTGCAACCCAAGCTATGTTGCAAGGTAGGAACTGATCCTTCTATTCCTTCTACAACATTTTCCATGTAACAACTGGCAAACGACTTATAGCTTTGTCATCCTTCACTCGAGTCCACCACCACAACTTTGCATCGCTCGAAAGATACATAGAAGTGATGTTTACCTGCTCATCCTCTGGAATACAAGCATTTTTGAAGTACTGCTCCATATCCTACATAAAATTCTCCAACTCTTTAGCATTATGGGTGGCATTGAATAGCTTTGGTTCAGGAACATTAATTTTAGAAACACCCACTGCATCCCGCACAGTAGTACTATTAAGGGCCAATTTCAATAAGAAAATTTCTCTTTCAAGGGCATTGAATCGAGCTTTCAAGTTATCAGCAAGATCCAACAGATCTTTCATGAATGAAGATAATTTTTCGTCCACTCCCTAGCATACATTTCAAATTGTGCCCTCAATTCTGTATGTACATCATTATGTCCATGGATTTGTGTAGCCAAATTGACTGCATTGTCAATCATAGGAGCACTAACGAAATCCTCCAATGCAGCAACTCAATCTTTCAGATTCTGACTTGCAACCATGCTTGCAAATGAAGCCCAGTGTCTGCACCAACTGGGCTGTGATACCAATTATCACAAGGATGAAGTTAGGGAGAATACTTAGCCAAATTTTTGCCTGTGATGGCACTGAGGTTCTCACTTAGTCAACCCACGAGTTTGCACAATTTACACAAGAAAACAATAAAGGCAGTAATGTAGAGAAACGAACACAAATTTTTACGGGTAATCATCCGAGTTATTTATTACTCCACAATAATACAAGAAACAAAGGAAACACCGAAGGAACACTACAAGTATGTGTCTCATCAGCTCGAACAACCATATTTATAAGCCAAAATTTGTGTGCAGTTAACATACTTAATTGCCAAAGGGATAAACCTACCCACTTTGGCCAAAACTAGCAGAAACTACATTTCATGTCCTTTCCCAACAACTGCCCATACTTTCTATTAGTATGGACCATGAAAACTACTTAAAACACATGTCAAACATGTGCTTGACCTGGACACCCGAATTTGTGGAATCAAACACACTGAATAGTAAGCTGGATCCGTCCATGCCTTGCCGAATTCTGCTAACCTGCAATACTTTGACACCAACCAAACTGAAGCAAAGTGCCCACAAGCTGAAAATCCACATTTGCCTTGCTCCAGATATCCAAAGTGTGCATCATCAATACACTTGTCCACAATATTCTAACATGAGAGCAAGGTGTGTCCATGTCATCGCGCATGTAAGCCTTTAAGGGGCTGACACTCGTCCACTTGCATTTCTGTTAATATCGTGCAAACAAAAGTATATTATACGGATAGGCCTAAATGGGAAACTCCACTTCCATTCCGAGCCTTATAATGGATTCAATTTGGGCCTTGAACAAATTTTGACCACATCCAGCCCATTTCGTGCAAATCTTCAAACCGAAGCACTCTTCCAAATCTGCATCATACGGTACAACTACTTCACCAAATGCCACAGAGTACCTTTCTGGCTTTCTTTTTCTGTCTTCTACCCCAAAATTCAGTTAAAATCTGACCTCAATAACTAGAATTAAACCAATTTTCTCGCTAGCAACAACGAAATTATTGTTGTTGTAGTAGAAGCTTTTACATAATCCAGCCATGAAGCAGTTGCATAAGCAGGCCAGTACAAGAAGAGATGAAGAAATCCCCATGTCTCAAACCCCACCTTACTCTCCCAAATCCTTGAAACATTCCAGATCCCTTCGCAGATCTCTCAATTATCTGCTCAAAGAACAGCGCCTTCTTTTCATTCTTGTGGGCATTCTTATTGGGTCCACTTTCTTTGTCATCCAACCTTCCCTTTCCTACCTCTCCTCAGCTTCTTCCGGACCCAGTATTCCCAGATCCCATATTTTTTCGGGGAATCGTGAATCGGTTAGCCTTTATGATCGCAAGGGGGTGGTGGGATATGATCAGAGTTTTAAGGGTAAGTATCCTAATGGGGTGGGGAGAGTGCCGGTGGGGATACGGAACAAGAGGAAGAGGATTGTAGTAACTGGTGGGGCTGGGTTTGTGGGCAGTCACTTGGTGGATAAGCTGATCGCTCGAGGTGATGACGTGATTGTGATCGATAATTTTTTCACCGGGAGGAAGGAGAATATAGTGCATTTGTTTGGGAACCCGAGATTTGAGCTGATTAGGCACGATGTCGTCGAGCCGATTCTGTTGGAGGTGGATCAGATCTACCACTTGGCTTGTCCTGCATCTCCAGTTCATTACAAGTATAATCCTGTCAAGACTATCATATCCTCGTTACAGTTTGTTATTACTTATTAGAGTGACATTGGATTTATGTGTGTCTATATATATATATATTTGGAGCCCGTTTGAGCCACATTATTTGTAGAATGAGAATGAAAAATAGAGCCATTATGGCCTCCACACAAGATATAGAAATTAAAAAATGGTGACTTGACGTGATGAATAACGGTCATATTTTTCATTTTAATGAAGTAAAAATGGGGCTCAAACAGGGCCTTGATCTGCATGTGCATGTGCGCATTAGTAGCATAATGGTTTGCCTGTTTGAACATGACAGGAGATGCTCAACAGTGAGTTGTTGGTTTAATTTTTATTTATGTCAATGTCAATTACAAACATGCTCGTGTGATGTGTACATATACATATGGTATTATGGTTGTATGTCTCCGAGAACGAACTTGCAGATGTACACATACCAAATAGTGCATTTAAGTGTTTAAATTAATATAATTTTTATGCAATTACATCTGATATATAGGCTTGCACAAGTGCAATTGCCAATGACGGTTGCTGTTTTTGAGTGTGTGAATGCAAAAATGATAAGCTGCTCTTATGATTATTCACACAGTTCTAATATTCTTTTTGTGTAACTGGGAAGAAATTTAGACAAAGATACAGACTTATGTTGCTCCTGCATTTGTTTTTCTTGGATATTTTGTTTATTGAGATCCTTGACACATAATTACAAGACAAACGTGATGGGGACCCTTAATATGTTGGGCCTCGCAAAGAGAATTGGAGCAAGATTCCTTCTTACCAGTACAAGTGAGGTTTATGGTGACCCACTTGAGCATCCACAGAAGGAAACATATTGGGGACATGTGAATCCAATAGGTGAGTGATATCTTTCTGTCACGAAATATGTTGTTTCAGTTATGCTAGTCTGGCGTGAAGTTTATGATTGAGTTCTTTCCAATAATAAGGTGTACGGAGTTGCTATGATGAAGGAAAACGAACTGCTGAAACCTTAACTATGGATTATCATCGTGGAGATGGTGTTGAGGTAATACATGTACATTGCAGTTGTTGTTGTTGAACTCTGAGCTTGGAATTTGGATGATTTGGCTGTCAAAATAGAGTATAATGTGAATAATCTTGTTGACTTCACCTGCTTTAACAATAGATAGCTTAGGAACAAGCATTATTTCGTTTAAGTTCATCATTCATTTTGTAAATTACATTAGTGTTGCTGATTATTTTTACGGATAATTTTTGTATTTAATTAGTAGTTTTTAGAACTTGGTAATTACCTGTGATACCATATAAGGTGTCTGAAATGTTTCTTTACCTTTATGCATCATTTCCTTTGAGGCAAAACTAAACTCTACTACATGCTTTACACATGACCTATCATGATAATATCTCCAAGCCATGTCTCTGACTATGTTGGATTGATATGCCACGAAATTAGCATCTAATGTAGGTAAAAAAATTTCTGCACTTCTGATTAAATTCAAACACTTTATTGCATCCAGGTTGGCAAATGTTTCCCGGTACATTTGATAAAGTCCAATTATATTTTTCAGCATTGTACATAATTTGTGTCATCGACACAATAAGTGTCTGCCTACCTTGATGTCATATCAAATAGCTGGCCAATGAATTATTAAATTTTGGTGGTGACTTTTAATTTGATACATGTTGCCACCTAATAAATTTCATGCATCTTTGAGAAGTAATTGATTCCTGATTGAAACAGCTTGCATCAACATCTACACAAACTCCAGAAAACACATGAAACCTATCTGCTTCAACTATGAATCTAGATAAGGATTCAGTATGAACTGGCCATGATGTGGCCACAAGTATACTTTATTGTGCTAGGGCATGAAAGAGAATGATTTACAGTCATGGAGATGTGATGATTTCACATGAAGAAGACATCTGATTTTTAAATGCAATTGGTTAGCAAGTACATTTATTGCTTATTTTAAGTGCAGCAATATAATTAATGAGCTCAAGGTTCTTAGATTGGAAAAATTTTATGTTGCCTTCGACCTAGGTGAGGTAGGAAGGATGCCTAATGGGCTTATGATACATGCATTTGATTTTGACAATCAAAAAGGTATACTTGCAAAGTTTTTCTTTCACTAAAATGAAAGGAAATAGTGAAAGGAAATTTCATGTCCTTGCTTTTTCAAAGTCTCATTATATTATGTTGAGTTGCAGAGGAGCTACTATATTTTCAGTGTTCCCTTTGTATAAATGACAGTAGGACCGACAAATTCCATAAATCAAGCTACCTTTCAAAATAGTAACATTTTTTTTAATATTTTATGGGAAAATTGCGGCATCGGTCTATAACCTGTCACTTTTTTTTTGCAGGCTTTACTCTAACCTTTAGTTTTTGTCTAACCTTTGAAAAATTAGCAGTAGAGGTCCAAATGGATGGAGACCATTAGTTGCGAATAAAATTGATTTGGTTCAAATCTAAAAGGGGCAAAATGGTAACTTTATAATTTTAACATAAATAAAATAATTTTAAAAATTAAAAGGAGAAAAAAATTTAAAACAAATTATTGTTCACCCCATCCCACTCCCTCCGGCCCGGCCCTACCCCATCTCACCCCCTAAATAAATTAAAAAAAGAACTCAATTCCCTGTTCATCTCCCTCCTCACCCCACCCCATTTGGACATCTGCTACTAATTTCTCAAAGGTTATGGACCTCCATTGGCTTGGCACAAATTCAATGTTAGTGTGAAGTCTGCAAAAAAGTGAAAAGTTAGGACTGCTGCTGCAATTTCCCCTTATTTTATTCATATCATCATCAAAAATGTATATAATGTGTTATATCTCATCACTTTGGCTTTTTCTTGGCCTAGTTCAGATCATATGCATATGGATATTGTCTTATTGTGGACTGAAGTTATGTTATTTTCTCGCTGGATTATGTGTTTCATTCTGTCTCTGCATCAGAGTTTGGAGACAAACACATTAATAGAATTATGTGGACAATATACTTTACACCCTCAATTTACTGCTCAGTTATTGAAGAGGAAAACATCAACTGTGTGGAAAATACAATTTATCCCCCTCAAGCTATTGCTATTTGCTAATTTACATCAAATAGCCTCTCTTTTCTGATTTCTGTCAAAGTTCTGCCTTTAAGCTCTGAATGTTGTTAATGGAAATGATGGAACTATTCTCTACCTATGAGAAGTTCAAACCCAACTCCAAGGCACTTTTCTGATTTCTGTCAAAGTTCTGCCTTTAAGCTCTGAATGTTGTTAATGGAAATGATGGAACTATTCTCTACCTATGAGAAGTTCAAACCCAACTCCAAGGCATTTTTAATTCTTTTCTCAGCCGTGAATATAGTCTGCAGAAACAAAGGCCCATCTGAATTTTCGATTTACAACTACTCCCCCCCCCCCCCCCCCA